ATAGTTGGGAGATTAAATAATTATAACCATATTTTAGCATATCCTGAAGAAGCGAATAAATTTTGTGAAAGCTAAATAAAAGAACAAAGAGTTTTACTTATCCTGCCCTATTAATGACTGCAACCTCAAAAGAAAAATATTTATATATATATATATATATATATATATATATATATATATATATATATATATATATATACATATGTAGGTAGGAGATTAAATAATTATAACCATATTTTAGCATATCCTGAAGAAGCTAATAAATTTTTGTGAAAGCTAAATAAAAGAACGAAGAGTTTTACTTATTCTGCCCTATTAATAACTGCAACCTCAAAAGAAATAGTTTACCTAACGTGTCAGTCAATAATACCCAACTACTATATATAAAATATCTATTGTATGAAAATCACATTCCATAGTTTGCAATTTGTGGCATTCGGCCATGGCTCCCTCCATCAAACTTCACTCTTATGGGAAAATTGTTATTTTTCACAATATACTAATATAAATACTTAAGCTTAAATTCACGTAGTAAATAAAACATCTAGTAAATTATCTTAGAATTTCAACAGTTCGTTTCATCCGCAAGCATGAATACATTTTGAAAATTTAGCACAAGGTGACGTCATGCGCGTGAGTGTACGAGTTTAGTGCATGGCAATATCATATCTGGTATCCTTATATCATGGAAATTTGATGCACTGTTCCATATTGCGTCTCAATTTAAATATAGATTCCGATCATGTATGCTGGTTTTTGACTGTTTCGACGTTTATGTTGTTGTTTTCTGTAATCGCTGTTGTTGAAAAGTTAAACATATTTAATTAAAAAACAGTAATTTAGCTTTTCTAGCGTGGATTTCGGCTAAGTGAATAATTAGGATATGGTGTTACCTACATCATATTAACTAGACCAACTAGATGTATTGACCACCTGAAGTGTAATAGCAATAACTGTATGCAAGCCACACGAGACGGATGAAAAAAGCTGATTGAGACCTACGTCCAGCAGTGGACGCATACAGACTGATGATGATGTTATCTACAGTAGATGTTACTCAAACTACTATATTGCTACAAGAAAGAAGTTTATGTATCTGAAACTTGAGGTATCCATCTTTATATAGAGCTTTCCATCGCTTTATAGAGACTGGTACATACTCACGTCGACCTGGTTCCGGTTGTAGAAAAGTTACCTCGAAAAGAGATGATCGTTTTATTGTGATGGAACTTTTAAGAAATCGCTATTCCACTGCAACTGCTGCAAGAAACTCTCTGCGGGAGGTTCGAAATGTGAATGTCAGAGAGAACAGTTAGGAGATTCCTCAGTGAAAAAGGACTAATGGCAAGAAGGCCAGCTATTGTTCCCAAATTACAACCCAGACATTTTTGCTTTACACCATCAACACAATTATATACAGGATTAGAGCCGAATTCTCTTTACTGATTAATCGCGGTTCTGTTTGGACTCTAGCGATGGCCGAGAGAGGATTTAGACACGGAGAAATGAAAGATATTCCCAAGCTTGTATGTCCCAGAGAAAGTTTGGCGGTGGTAGTGTGTTGGTTTGGATGAAAATCTGATGTAAAGCTCGAACCAAACTTATTATTATCAATGACCCTCTGAATGCTTACTGGTGTATAGAGGATGTTTTGGCAGAAGCAGTAGTTACATTTGGTCCACTTATTGGGGACAATTTCGTCTTTATGCATGATAATGCACGGCCGCGTACTGCAAGAATCGTGAAAAATGACTTGGAAAAAGGCGGAATTAATACTCTAGAATGGTTAGCCTGCAGTCCTGGTCTAAATATCATCGAACATCTTTGGAACGAACTTCATCGTAGGGTTAGAAGTCAACCAGGCCGGCAAGAAAGTTTAGCAGAACTTCAAACGTGCTTCGTGAAGAATATGAACGTATTTTTTAAGTTTTTATTCAAAATTTGTTCCGTTTCCTTCCAAATCGTATTCAAACGGTTATTGATGTTTTAGGGCCTAATACCCGATATTAGACAATGTTGTTTAAAAAATTTAATTAACAATCCTTTGTAAAAGGTATATATTTAAGGCCCAAACGGGCTTAGTTAAAAAGACATAACGTTATCGGAAACCATGTTCCATCATCAGTGTCTAGGAGTACATGAATGTAGCCACCAAGATTAAATATATGGGTAAAAGCCCGTTAACAGATGTTTAATTACATTTAGTTTTAAAAATACGTTATAATTATTTAAGATTATAGAGTTACCGATGGATTAGGTAACATGGCGACATATGACTCCACGTTGAAGTTGCTAGTCCTGAGACGGTATGTCTTCGAGGACTGTATGAGTGCAGAGTTGTCACAAGTGGTAAAAAGGTAAAGAAAAAAAGTTATGCGTTAAAATATTAATTGATGAAATCAATTCAACTCTGGAGGATAAAATCGTACCAGTTTTCATTTTTCTGAACAGAAGCGTTCTGGAGGTTTTAAAAAAACCTAGTTACAAGACGTTTAGAACGAAAATTAGATTTCTATCAGTCTAAGGAGCAAGCTGGGTTCAGGAAAAGTTATGGAACAAATGACCACCTACAAGCACTTAAAATACTAATTGAAAAATGTGTTGAATATAATAAACCACTCACGTTGATTTTCATAGACTTCAAGAAAGCTTTTAATACCGTGGAATTACCGGCAGTATTAGGAGCATTAGAACAAAGCCGAGTAGACTATAGATATACAAATTTGATAAAACATATATACAACAACGCAACAGTATCTGTTAAACTCCATGATTTTACCGATAAATATAGAATTGAGCGAGGAATTAGACAGGGCGACACCATCTCCCCCCAACTATTCACTGCAGCTCTGGAATATGCCTTTTAAAAACTAGATTGGGCTAAAAGGGGAATAAATATTGATGGTGAATACTTAATGCAGATTCCACTTGCGCTTTGCAGATGATATTGTCATTATAGCCGAGAGTTTAAATGAAGCTCACAAAATGATGGAAGAACTAAAACAGGCAATAGAACAAATAGGCCTGAACATAAACTTTGAAAAAACAAAATACATGACCAATTTAGTTCCAAGTGATGTTATGAGGGTAGATGGGAACGAAGTACATCAGGTCTTTAGCTATATCTATTAGGGGCATGAAATTAGAATAGGAAAAGATAATCAAACTTGTGAGATCCAGCGTCGCATAGGCTTGGGATGGGCAGCATTTGGCAAGATGCGAGATATTCTTAAAGGAACGCTACCGATTTGCTTGAAGAAAAAGGTTTACAACCAATGCATACTGCCAGTAATAACATATGGTTCCGAAACAATAACTTTAACCAAACGTTTTGCAAATAAATTGAGAGTAACTCAAAGAAAAATAGAAAGAGCAATGTTGGGAATAACTAGAAGAGATATGGTACCAAATAGGATAGTGAGAGGGAGAGGACTAAAGTGACAGATGTCATAGAAAAAATTGCACAAGCCAAATGGAGATAGGCTGGACATATAGCACGTTTAAATGATAATAGGTGGACCAAAAGACTCATAGAGTGGAGACCTAGAGAAGACAAAAGACACCGAGACAGACCACCAAAAAGATGGATGGACGACTTGAGAAAAACAGTCGGAAATTGGATACAGAAGGCGCAAGATAGAGAACAGTGGAAGAACATGGAGGAGACCTATATCCAACAGTGGATGCAAGAGGTTGAGGAATAATGATGATGATGATGATGATTGAAGATCGGTATGACGACCTGGAAAATGGTGCAGTCAGAGAGTCATAAAGTAGGAATGAGACGATGGGACACAAATGGAAGTTAATAATAATGCTAGAATTGTAACGCTATTGATGATGATCCATTGATTTAAGAACCCTTCGCTTTGGTAACCTTTAAATATTTTTGTAGTTATTTTCAATTTATAATTCATAATTGTTTTTATGTAGCTTGGCATTATATCGGGTACGATAAAATCAACTTCTAAACCTTCTTCCAAATCTTCTAAATCACCTACTGTGCTTTAATCAAAGTGCAGGTCTAAGTAGAATTGTAAATATTAATATAAAATAAATAGATTTCTTAACAAATTACGAGATATCCTAAAAACATACTCCTAATATCATTACATATGATATATATCTTAGTCTGAGATCAGCCACATTCTAAAAATTTACACAAAGGCTGTAACACAAATTGATATTTCTTTAATTCATGGGGAAGGTACCGAAATTTGATTTATTTTTTATTGAAAATTCTATGAGGTAATTTTTTCTATTTAGGAATTTATAATAACTACTTTTTTTGATATTTAATGACACCTGTTAGCAGGGTACGAAGTGGTTAAAAAATTTAATCACTTAAACTTGGAGCGGTGTAAGCTACGTCAAAACTCACCAAAATATAAAACGACCAAACGATATAAAATGCTTAATAGCAGATCATCGAGCATAAAGACAAAAGAGGAATGTAAAGGTAGTGGGAGGCGTGGGGGCAAAAATATTGTTAGACAGGAAGTGCAATCTTTAGAGGCCACATTAAACAAAGAAAGAGAATCTCTCTCCTTATTTGACATCAAATTTAGTTGGGTTAAGTTATTGTTTGTCCCAAATGTCACATGAAATCTTATTTATATTGAAGTTTTTTAACAATTGTGTCGCATTTGAGACCATTATCGTTAATAATTAATTAAAACTTTTTCGTCTAAGACACATTCTGAAAAATATTATATAGCTACTGTTAATAAGTGTCGGAAAATTTAAATTTGGCGCATTCGCATTTCCGGATATGTCCGCCATCAGAGGCCACTTTTTTGGTCTCCTTTTCATAAGGATTAGTTTCCCTCTTTTGTCTTTTTGCTCGATGTAGCAGATATTACTTTGTGACCTTCCCCACTTTATTAGATTAAAAGGTCTACTTCTATGTATTCAAAAAGTGTAAATTACATTCTAATACTTCTGTCCGAACAAATCTTAAATAACTTTAAGTTTATCACATATTTTATCAACTTTCTCATCTATTTTTCATCATGGAGATACGCTGTGTTATTTACACCTGTTTTATCGATTTTTTCATTAACTATAATATTGTGTTTTTGGATGGATTTTGAATAGTGTCTTGTCCGGTAGGCAAGTTGGTACCAATATCTTCAAATGCTTGATTTACGATACCATTCTGCATTTCTTTGTTTTGCGTATCTTCTTGACTAGGAATTTTTCTTATTCCGTTTAGCATTGGAGTTGTAATAGGAATGTTCATTTGGGTTTCCTTCGCACCTGCATTAAGAATAACGTCGGCTACGACACTGGTTCGCTTTTCCATGTGTACCTTAGTGTTCTCAGTTGACTCTCGTCGAGATTGAAGATACATCCATCTAAAAAATAAAATATTAATGCTGTTTTTTATGGTCCACATTTTAATGTTTATTAAACTTAATACATACAACATACTTTTATATAGAATCTCAAGAGAATTGTTCCTAATCCTGACAACCAGATCAATTAAGAGATAGGAATGCAAACCTTAGTATCTTGATTTTTCACTTGGATATTTGTAATCATCAGGACCTACTTATCTTTTTTTTTTCTATTTACAAATTTTTGGTATTGTATAATCTCAAAAAATGAGATTCAACAATGTCGTTCATTTTTTTGCGCCATCTATAGTCAAAAGACCAGACCATATTTATGTTTAAAAATTAATCAAAAAATATATATATTATGCCAATACTAAAAAAATTAAATAATAAAAAATGAATTTGCTAATGTTTTCAATATGCTTAGTTTTATACATTAATAGATACTACCTGTCCTGTGGTCTGTGAACTGTGTTTGTCATTTGTCATCTTAGTTTTAGTTAATGTCATATGTAATTGTCATGTTATTCATTCAAACAAAACAATGCTAATTTCTTGTATATTAAAACCTAGTTTATAAAGGTTTTGCATTTCATTACAATTTAATATACAAGAAATATCAAATATGGATAAGCTACTACGACCAGACAGATTCGATGCTGATCCTAACTCTCCTAGATCGTCTCAAGAATGGATGCATTGGAAAGCTACCTTTGAAAACTTTATTTCCTCTGTGATTGATGTTTCAGAGGAGGAGAAATTCAAACTACTGGTAAATTACGTGAGCAACAATATCTATGAACTCATCTCTGATTGTAGAAAGTATTCTGAAGCCAAAAGTATTCTTGAAGCAGCTTTTGTTAAACCCAAAAATGAAATTTTTGCCAGACATATCCTAATGACAAAAAAACAACAAACTGGTGAAAATATAGGTCAATACGTTCAACATCTTAAAGTGCTTTCCAAAGACTGTAATTTTCTAGCCGTTTCTGCAGACCAAAATAGAGAAGATTATATAAGAGACTCTTTTATTAATGGCATTCTTTCTAATGACATAAGACAACGTTTACTAGAAAACAACACTATTACTCTGCAAGATGCCATAGTAAAAGCCCAGTCTCTGGAGTCAGCTTCAAAACACTCTGAGGCTTATACAACTCCTGTACAAATTATTAATGCAATTTCTTCTGAAACCAGAGAGCACACTAATTATACTTCTGCTGCTGTGAAAAGTTGGAAATGTTACTTTTGTGGATCAACTGAAAGGCATCCTCGTAGCCTATGCCCTGCTAGAGACAAAGTTTGTAAGAAATGCTCGAAAGTTGGACATTTTTCCAAGGTATGTAGGCTTCAGATGCCCAATTCAGTATCAGCTGCTGTTTTAGCTACTACTACATCTAGTTCGAATGTTAGAAATCTTGCTGCTGCCCCTCAATGCTTATCTAAAAGTGTTACTGAGATAAAGGTGAATGGAAATACAGCTGAAAGTTTAATAGACACAGGTAGTTCTGAGTCATATATCAGTAAGAATTATGCATTGTCTATAAACGTGAAAACATTTAGAAGTCATGCAAGCATAATAATGGCTTCAACAGCACTCAGAACGACTATCTCAGGACACTGCTTTGTTAATTTAGAAATAAACGAACATTCATATAAAAATGTCAAATTATCAATAATTCAAGATTTATGTGCTGATGTAGTTATAGGTCATGACTTGCTTAAACAACATTCTTCTCTAGAAATCACTTTTGCTGGCTCAAAAATGCCTTTAGTTATTGATCATATAGATAACATTTGTAGTTTGGCATACTTAAATATAGAGCCACCCAAATTATTCTCCAATCTATCAAATGATTGCAAACCGAGGGCAACTAAATCAAGAAAATTTTCAACTGAAGATAGAAAATTCATATCTGACGAGATACAGTATCTGCTATCGAATGGAATCATAGAAGAAAGCAACTCTCCTTGGCGTGCACAAGTACTTATTACAAAAAGTGAAACACACAAAAAGCGAATGGTGGTAGATTATTCACAAACAATTAATAAATTTACTTACTTAGATGCCTATCCTCTCCCAGATGTTGAAGATATTGTTAGAAAAGTAGCAAGATATTCTGTCTTCAGTACTATTGATCTTAAAAATGCATACCATCAAATTCCAATTAAAAATGAAGAGAAAATATACACTGCTTTTGAAGCCAACGGCCAACTATACCAATTTTGCCGGATTCCTTTTGGGGTAACCAACGGAGTGGCTTGTTTTCAAAGGGTTATCGATGGTATTATTAAATCCGAACATTTAAAAGGTGTGTATGCATATCTTGATGACATTACGGTTTGTGGATTAAATCAACAACAACATAATGAAAATCTTAATAAATTTATGGAAGTAGCGAAGAAATACAATCTAACAATAAATCAAAATAAAAGTTCTTATACACTAAATTCAATCAAACTTTTGGGTTATCAAATAGAAAATCAGACCTTAAAACCTGATCCTGAAAGACTTGAACCATTAAAGAAGTTACCCTTACCAAACGATTCACAATCACTAAAGAGAGCTGTCGGAATGTTTGCACATTATTCCAAATTTATCCCACAATTTTCAGAAAAGATACAAAAACTAGTCACATGCAATACTTTTCCTTTAACAGAACAAGCAGCTGAAGCTTTCCAAATTCTTAAATCTGAAATTATTTCTTCAGCTGTTACTACAATTGATGACAAGATTCCTTTTATCGTTGAATCTGATGCTTCAGATTTTTGTATTGCTGCTTCTCTTAGCCAAGGAGGAAGACCTGTTGCTTTCTTTTCAAGAACCTTATCAAAAAGTGAAAGAAATCATTCATCAGTGGAAAAAGAGGCTTATGCAATAGTGGAAGCTCTTAGAAAATGGAGACATTTCTTGATAGGTAAACATTTTCGACTTATAACTGATCAAAAGTCTGTCTCTTTTATGTTCAATATGCGCCACACTAGTAAGATAAAAAATGAGAAGATTATCAGATGGCGCCTTGAATTATCATGCTACAGTTTCGATATTCAGTACCGACCAGGAGTTGAGAATGTAGTGCCAGATACTTTCTCACGAGTGAGCTGTTCAATAAATCCTCGACCAAGTCTATTTGAACTACATCAATCCTTGTGTCATCCAGGAATCACCAGAATGGTCCATTGGATAAAGACACGCAACTTACCATATACTATTGATGAAGTCCGTGAAATGACCAATCGCTGTCCTATCTGTGCAGAAATAAAACCAAAGTTTTTGAAAACTCAAGGGAGATTAATTAAAGCTACTTCGCCTTTTGAAAGATTGTCTCTGGATTTTAAAGGACCGCTTCCATCTAGATCTCATAACAAATATATCCTAACAATTGTTGATGAATATTCTCGATTCCCCTTTGTATATCCATGTCAAGATGTTTCAGCGAAAACTGTTGTGAAGTGTCTTACAAACTTATTCTCTTTATTTGGAATGCCTAGTTATATCCATTCAGACCAAGGGGGGGCATTTATGTCTCAAGAAGTCAAAACATTTCTCCATTCACAAGGAATACCAACAAGCCGAACAACATCTTACAATCCTGAAGGAAATGGCCAGACAGAAAGATATAATGGAATTATATGGAAAACTATTTCTCTTGCATTAAAATCTAAACATTTAAAAACTGAACAGTGGGAAGAAGTAGTTGAGATAGCTCTTCATTCAATTCGTTCTCTTTTGTGTACATCTACAAACAGTACCCCTCATGAGCGAATGTTTCATCATTCCAGAAAAGCTATAAATGGAGCTGCACTTCCTTCATGGTTGATAACCCCCGGAAAAGTATTTATGAAAAAAAATGTGAGGCAGTCCAAATATGAACCCCTCGTTGAAGAAGTACAGCTAATTGAAGCAAATCCAAACTATGCTGTTGTTAGACGTGAAGATGGTAAAGAAACAACAGTAGCCTTAAGACAACTTGCACCACGAGGAGATGCATCTCTGGACTGTGTTAGTGGATCGGAATCTGCGGTTTCTAATGAACAGTTTATCAAAGATCCACCAAGCCCTAGATTGAGTATATGTGAGGAAAATCCAAATATTTCTCCTGTTAACATTCTGGAAGATCAAGGTCATATTGAAAGTGTTTTAGAGGAAGAAAATAAACACAGTCTTATTAGAAGAGGTACCAGGGAAAGAAACACTCCTGCTTACCTTAAAGACTTTGTTCAAAAATAAAGTTGGGGTGAATGTCCTGTGGTCTGTGAACTGTGTTTGTCATTTGTCATCTTAGTTTTAGTTAATGTCATATGTAATTGTCATGTTATTCATTCAAACAAAACAATGCTAATTTCTTGTATATTAAAACCTAGTTTATAAAGGTTTTGCATTTCATTACACTACCTACACAGTTTTTGTTTATTTCTAGAAAAACCAAATTAATTTCAGTATAAATGCGATTTGTTCCATTTATTTACAGAAAATAATATTAAATTATTTTAAATCCTTACAGGCATTTTATTATTACTCAAACTAACTGCGTTAACTACATCAATGAATATTCTTTTAATATAGCAGAATATTTCAAAATATCAAGACTTATACTGCTAGCGACATCTCTTTTTAAGTAGCTTAACAAAAGAAATTTAAAATCACGTATTCTACATTATTAAATGCTCTTTTTGCTTGTAACTGTTATAAATTCTGCTTATAATCCGTGAGAAATATAATTTATTATTAGGTGATTCTAAAATTTTTCAAAACATAAAAATGGGCGTTATTTAGGGCGAAAACTCTTGCAATTCAATTAAATTTGAAGTTATATTTAGCTTTTATATTCAGTAGATTGGTGATGCAAGCACATTTTTTTTTAATCGAAACTCGTAATTTTTCTCTCAAATTTAAAGACTTAAAATTTTCAGATACCACATACGAATAGCATTATAAGAAGCCGGAATACCTCAGTTAATAGCTAATTTAAATAAAGTCTCAGTGTTGAAGGCACGTAAATTGTAAAATTACTTTGTAGAATTATTTTAAAATATGTAATCTTATTAAAGAAGATGATACTTTTTGACAGCCAAATGATTGTGAAAATAAATAGTTTTAGATATCTAAAATTAGTAGGCACCTAGTAGTGGGGAAATAAATGAAGATGCTTGCAGATGCAATCAAGTTAGAGCGGGATCGATGATATGGAAGTATTTACTATTAATATTTATTTATTTCATTACATTACACTTATAATATACAGATTTGTAGGAAGTTTTAAACATTCATAAACATTATCATCATTATAATGATTTAAAAGTAAGTAGGAGAGAGTGGCTTAAAATGGTCCTTTACCAATACCGAAAGAGGGACAAGAACTTGTTATATAATTAGAGCTTCTTCTTCTTTCTGTTTAATTACTATCCAGATGTAATTCTAAAAGCTATTTCATCTCTCCTTACTTCCCATCATCTTCACGATCATCTCTAGCACAGTCACGTGGTTCACACCTATTTCTCTATATATTCTGCTGCTCTCCACTGAACATCTATTACACTCCAGCATTTTGTGAGTCGAACAAGTTAGATTTTCTCACTGTTATTTATTTTTTTTTACTTTATATGCCCTGAAGGCTTAACCCCAAAACCCCCCTGGGAAGTTCGTGGTGCTGGAGTTTTGAAAGTTTTGATTGATATTCAAATTGTCTTAGCGAATTATTTGTATCTTATGCTGTCAGAGAATTGTCGTCATTTAAACCATATAAAGACGCAAAAAATGTTCGCCAACAACAATGAGCAATGATAACTGAGAAATATTTCTGTTCCGATAGCTAAACTCAAGATGTTTCTGTAAAATTTTGATTTATTTAACTTTGTAGATTATGTAAGCAACTATTGTTGTGTAGCATTTTGAAAAATTATGAAGAAAAAACAATTTCTATATATAAGCCTTGAAGGACAACATAATTGATGCGACGTACACCGTTTTAAAGGTTTAAAAAATGAACACTTTGAACACACAGCATTGGACTGCTTCCTTTCTTATGTTATAAGCAAGACAAGAATGCCAATGTCTTCTGCTACTACAGTCATTGAACCATGGACTTGGAATGCAGCAAGCATAGAACGTATTATGACTGTATCTGCATCAGAGTCATCCTGGTCGACACTAAAACCCACTTCTGATAGAGCAGTTTTGAGAAGATCTATTAAGTTTGTTTTATTCTTTTCATTATCGAGAAATTTGTCTTGGGATAATGTTGGTACGGTTCTCTTCTATCTATCTATCTAATCAACCTTAAACGCCTACTCTTGGGCATAGGCCTACCCTGTTAATCTCTATTGGTCTCTATTTTGGGCGATCTGCATCCAGTCCTTTCCTGCCGTTCTCTTAAGATCGTCAGTCCATCTCATCTGTGGTCTTCCTCTTTTTCTTTTCTTTTCCCATGGTCTCCAGTGTAGAATTCGCTTATTACATCTTTCATCTTTTCGCCGGAGAGTGTGACCGGCGAAGTTCCATTTAAGTTTTGCAACCTGTCTTGATACATCGTTCACCTTTGTTTTTTCTCTGATCCATGAGTTTCTTTTCCTGTCTTTAAGACCGATACCCATCTGTCATGAGCATCTGTCTTTCCATTGCTCTTTGTGTTTTGTATATCCTGTCGATGTTCTCCTTTGTGAAAGTCTATGTTTGTGAGCGATATGTGATAACGTAAAATGCACTAGTTGAATACTTTCGTTCGCATATATTGAGGGAACTTTTTATTTTTTAGAATATCTGATTGTTTGCCAAATGAGGCTCATGCTAGTCTAGTTCTTCTATTTATTTCTTTTGTTTGATTGTCCCTGTTCAGCTTTATTATCTGTCCCAGATATATGTATTCTGCCACCAGCTTTATTTATTCTGTTTGACTACTATTTCTAATTTGTCTTCTTGGTTTGTCATAGTCTTGGTTTTAGTATAGTTCATCTCTAGACCTACCTCTGTCGCTTTTCTATCTAGTTCCTCAACCATCTTCTGTAACTCTTCCTTCTTATGTGTTATCAGGACTATATCGTCTGCATATCTCAAGTGGTTCAAGAGCTCTCCATTTATTCTTATTCCGTATGTATCCCATTCTAATTTTTTAAATATGTCTTCCATAGCCTGATTGAACAATTTTGGCGATATTGTGTCTCCCTGCCTGATTCCTCTTTCGAATTTTATTGGTTCTGTAGCGTGTTCGTTCGTCAATTTTATTGTGGTACTCGCATTTTTGTATATGTTTGTTATTAGGTCTGTGTACCTGTAATCAATTCTGCCGTTCTGTAGTGAGTTTTTGATGGCCCAATGTTCTATGCTGTCAAACGCCTTTCGGAAGTCTATGAATGCCATGTATAATGTGATTTGATACTCGTTCGACTTTTCAATCAGTATTTTTACTGTTAGCAGATGGTCGCCAGTACTAAAACCCTTTCTGAATCCCGCTTGTTCTCTTGCTTGGTATTCGTCAAGCTTAGTTGTTAGTCTATTTGTAATGATGTTCGTTAGTAGTTTAAATACAACACTTAGTAATGTTATAGATCTATAGTTTTTTAAGTTCTTTCTGTCACCTTTTTTGAACATTAATAGTGTCTCCGCATCGTTCCAGCTATCGGGTATTTCTTTTGTGGTAAATAGTTTGTTCATGAGAATATGTAGGACTTCTCTAGTTGTTTTCCCTCCTCTCTTCAGCATCTCTGCAGTTATTCCATCTTTTCCAGGTGACTTATGGTTTTTTAATTCTTGAATTGCTTTCTTGATTTCTGTTTTACTTATTTCTGGTTGTAGGTCAGAGTTTATATTTTTTATTTTTGCGTTTAATTGTTTAAGAATTTCTTGCTGTGGTTTATGTCTTGTTCTGTATAGGAGCGTATAGTATTCTTGTGTCAACTTTATTATTTGTTTCATATCATTAATGGTTGTTCCTTCGCTGTTTGTCATTTCATTTATCTGAGTTTTACTGAGTCGTTGTTTTAAGCATTTCATATTTTTGTTCAGCTGGATTACTCTTTCGATCTTTGCTTCCTGCGTTTTTCTCTTGGTTTCTTTTATGTTTTTTCTAATTGTTTTATTGATTTCAGTATATTCAACTGTGTTTCTTTTGCCCTGTTCAAGTAGGCTTCTTCTTGTCCCCATCACGTTTTCTTATTCTTCTGAGATATAATTGTCCTTTTTTGTCGTCGATTTTGCAATTCTCGGTTCTTTTGCTAAACTTTATCTATGTCGATTGATACTTTTTCGTGCCACGCAATCAAACGAGGTGGGGGTAAGTTTTGCGGTGGCGTAATGTGTCAATAAAAAATTCGTAATAACATAGAAATGTTAAGAAAATAAAAAATTGATTAAAAATGATACGAATAAAAAAATATATGAAAGAAAACGTTTAAGAAAGTCTTATGGTTCGTTTTTATCGTATTCTTACGAGTAGTCAAGAACCCGGTCAAATTCGGAGCACTGTAAAACACAGAAAAATTAATGACACAAATTTGTAGTACAAATTATTTTTTGATAAACTCACTATAATATCGCTCTAATGTTTTTTATTGTAAAATGACTAGTGAATAGAAAAAAAATTTGGCCCAAAAGAAAATTTGTTCAAAAATCCCTAGTTATTTTTGTTAATAACTTTTATATTTTCCATTTAACAATAAAAAGTAGTAGGAATAAATTTGTAGACAATTGCAGACAATAAATAATGTCTGATAAAATTTTGCTATAATGTGCAGAAATATTATTAGGGATTACACCCAAAACTCTACTATTTTATATTCATTTTCTCCCGTAAACCAGTCTTATTCCTCAATTTAATTACTATATTGATACTTACTAGTTTTCTATATATTTATATTAAATAAGTACTTACGCAAATATAATTACTGCAGGTACTGTTAATATTCCGCCAAGTATATAAAAAGCTCCTGGCATAAAATGTATAGTGGCAGAATAGGTGGCATTATACATTGGTCCATATAAAAGAGGCATTAGAGCCTCACACACACCAAAAAGAGAGTTTACTTTTCCTAAAAAAAAAATAATATAAATTAGTCGTATAATAAATTTATTATTATTATTTTTTATATATAGAAATACGGAAGTTTGTATCGCTGTGGTCCACATCCTGTTAAGATTCACAGCTTTTTCTTGATAATTAATTAGGAATAGACTCTTTTGGTCTGAGATTCAAATAAAAAGTTGGTACTGAAAGGATAATACATTATTGCAACAAAAGACGAACTAAAATTCAGCAAAAATTTTTCAGCAGATCGTTTTGATATGTTAATCTGAAAAATTGAAGACAACGTTGAAATATCTAAAGAAAGCCTTGAGAGGAACTGTTTGTCATTACAATAAATAAAAAACCTTAAATTATGTTATAAAGTTTTGTTGTATATCTGCGAATGGTAAAAGTATTACTTACCGAGTTCATCTGTAGGAACCAGCTTTGACGCTATAGATCTCATCGCAATAAACGATGTACCATTTAGTATTTCTACCAATGAACCTAAAAATATTATTTTTAAATTATAAAGACACTGAACTTACTCATAAATATACTGAAATAACAACAAAAAGTGTACACTTAGATGCATTTGATGATTTTTTCAGCACACTGTGTAAAAATTTATAGATTTTAATTCACTACGGTAAGTTATTTAAAAAAATTTGCATTTGACTTATTATACGGGGTAATCTTCGATAAACTGTAAATAAACTTATAGTATTGCCTCGAACCTCTTAAGCTGATCTCTTGTTTGCACCGTTGTTAAATGACGATCCCGCAAAGCGTTCATCTAAAGCCGTAGTTTTGCGCTTCCACTTCCCTTTGGACGGTTGAGCGATGAGTGTATAGTACTTTGGTCACATATTCATAATTTCGCCCATCTTCAATATGCCCATTGCCCATCAGGAAATGATACCCTACGGTTTCACTAATATTTAAACGGTTTCTTCGACACTAAGAACCATGATCAATCATAGGTAAACAAAATATTTGTGTCAATATGACATAATGACTACAGTCACCGTCACCAAAGGCCCCTCGTAGTACACAAATACAGAATAACTCCAAAATCTTCTTCTTCTTGTAGTGCCTATCCGTTTCGGATGTTGGCGACCATCATGGCAATCTGCACTTTGCACACTGCTGCTCTAAAAAGATTTGTGGTTGTTGTGTTGAACCACGTTCGTAGATTTTTCAGCCAGGAAATCCTTTTCCTTCCTGTTCCCCGTTTTGCTTCTACTTTTCCCTACAAGATTAGTTGCAGCAGTCCATATCTTTCGCTGTTCCTCATGACGTGACCGAGGTATTTGATTTTGGCTGTTTTTATTGTGATTAACAGCTCTTTTTCTTTTTTCATTCTCAACAGAACACCCTCCTTAGTAACGTGGTCGGTATACGATATCTTTAGGATGCGACGATAAAGCCACATTTCAAAAGCCTCAATTTTCTTGCAGGTGGCATCTGTGAGAGTCCATGACTCAACTCCGTACAACAGTATAGGAAAGATATAACATCGTAGTAACCTGATTTCTATGGGCATTGATAAATCATGACATTTGAATAACTTAGCCATTTTTTGAAATGCAGATCTTGCTTTCTCTATTCTACATTTGATTTCTATGGAATGGTCCAAATTTTCATTGACGTTCGTACCAAGGTAGGTGTATGTTTTTACTCGTTCTATTTGTTGACTGTTTACACTGATTTGTCCAAATTGCTGTTCCTTCTTAGAGATCATCATGCATTTTGTTTTCTTAGTGTTTAGTGAAAGTCCGTATCTCTGACTGACCTCTGTTCATTAGCTTCTGGAGGGTTTCAAAACTGTCAGCGAATACTACCGTGTCGTCCGCGTATCTAATGTTATTGATAGATTCTCCGTTGATTCTAATTCCGACTTCAACATCACCCACTGCTTCTTGAAAGATTTCTTCAGAGTATATGTTAAACAGCAGTGGTGATAGCATACATCCCTGACGGACGCCACGTTTGATTTTGATATCGTTGGATTCTTCTGCCTCTGTCCGGATAGATGATGTTTGATTCCAGTACAGATTGCTGACAATTCTTAAATCACAGGTGTTTATTTCAATATTGCTTAATATCTCCATCAGCTTGTCGTGCTTTACTGTATCGAACGCTTTATGGTAGTCAATGAAGGACGCATAAATGTCGCAGTTCACGTCTCTACATCGTCGAAATAGCACTTGTATACTAAACAGAGACTCTCTCGTTCCCACTGCATTCCGAAGCCCAAACTGAGTACGGCTGATTTTTTCTTCGCACCGTCTATATATCCTTTGATGTATGATTTTTAGAAATAATTTTAGAACATCACTCATTAAGCTGATGGTTCGGAAATATCCAAAATAAGCATAAATAAAAAAGTCCTAAATTATGGGTGGTAAATTCATTTGGCTCTACAAAATGAACCAAAGCATATTTTGGCATAAAACAAAAAACACAATGCTTAGGAGACATGATTACAACCAAAAAATAAAGTTTTACGAAAATTCACAAACGGAATTATTCCACAGGATGTTTCAATGTTAGGATAATAAAATCATATTTTAATTAACCCGGTACAATAAGTCAAATATAAAATTTTATAAAAAAAACTGACTATATCAAATTAAAATTTATAAATTTATACACAGTGCGCTAAAAAAATCATCAAAATAAGGCTAAAAATAAAAAGATTGAAATTCTTTGAATTTGACCAAAAGTTGTCTCGCTTGCGTTTTTTTTTTGCATCTGACTGTATATATTTCACTGTTATTTATTTGGATAAAAATTGTATTACACGATAGTGTAATATGTTTTACTTACCTAAATAGAAAACTAAAGAGGTAGTTGCAAATCCATAAACAAAGCTGGAAAGTATCTTACTTAAGGAAGAATATATTCCAATGATAGCGTCGTCAAATTTCAGTACGTGGCTAAATACCCCCACAGAAAAGGACGTTCCTAAAAATATCAGAATAAGATTTAATTTTAATAATACAATAATAAAAAAAACCCAGAAACTGCCACAAGTCTGCCTGGCGAGTCCAAAAGGACGAAATATGTATAAGCGAATAGTACTTTTAATTTACCCATGCAATATGATTACTAGAAATTAGTTCTCGATTGGTTTTTGCCTAGATTGTTGACGTGTTATGGAATGAAAAAAATGTTTAAATTGTTCATGTTAATTCATTATTCATGTCAGCAAGCTGAATGATAATGGTGATAATAATAGATTATTAAAGTTATTAATAACTCGTACTTACCTATCAGATTCGTTACCATGCTATACGTGGAAAAAATGCTAAAGTCAACTTCATCCCAATTAAACCTGTAACGGGTGAAGAGATAACCGACACTCATCTCACCTAAAAATAAGAAAGAAAAGCGAATTATTAATGGGGCTAAAATTAGATTTTACATTTCAAAAAAATTGTAAATTGTTAAATAACATCTAATTCAAATATTTTTTTACAAAACTGTACCATCATAATCTTATTTCATCTTTCATCGAATTTTAAATTTAGAAACAGTACTTTAAAAAATACGGTTGTTTATTATGTAGGTATTTGTTTATACCTCAACTTCTTCTTAACGGAGAAATAATTCAGAACCTAAACTTTGGTATAGTAGGTTACTGTAACCAGTTTTGGATGGACATCCAACAAGTAAATTCATATTACCAAGGAACCTTTAAAACTCACTCCCTCAATGAACACGAAAAACATTTAATAGAAATCTGTAATCTTTGTTCCAAATACCAGGCAACTAATGCAGAAAAGAAGAGAAATAAGAATCGAGACGGACACTAAAGCCGACGAACTAAAAAAATTAAATAAAGAAATATCCAAAGCTGTTAGACAAGACACTCGAAAATACAACCAAGAACAAATCAAACATACCATTAAGAACAATAGAAGTATGAAAGTATTGAGAAAAAGACGAAGAATGGGGACAAGGCAGATCTTATTTGTCAACGATTTTCCATCCACTCCTGAATGTACGTCTCTCCCAATTGCTTCCATCTTTCTCTATCTTGCGCCAATCTAATCCACTGTTTGCCTGCCGCTGCTCTTATGTCATCTACCCATCTTTTTTGAGGTCTTCCCATGCTTCTTGTTGTCGTCCTCGGTCTCCATTTTAGAATTCTGCGTGTCCACCTGTTGTCATTATATCGGGCTACATGACATGCCAGCGCCATTTAATTTTTGTAATTTCTTCCACATTATCCCTAATCTTCTTTCTACTTCTTATCTCGGTGTTTCTAGTCTTGTCTCTTAGTGATATTCCAAGCATGATTCGTTCCATTGCTGTTTGCATTGTTTCTAGTTTTTTAGTAGATTGTTTGGTAAGGGCTACTGTCTCCAAAACTGGTAGTATGCATGTGGCAGATAATAAAAAATTAAGATAGAAATGGTCATCTTACAACCACCAGAGAAAAACCCCTAAAATAGTTGAAGACTATTACAAAGTGCTGTACACAAGCCAACACAAAAGAGAAGATTAAGTATCAGAAATATTAACAAAAAAAAGCATTGTCAACTAAGGATCAGAACTACTACCCGAAATCACAAAAAAACGAAAAAAAGCTAGACCTAAGAAAAGCTAATAATAACAAATCTCTAGGCGAAGATTGTGTAGTTACTGATGCAATCGAAATCGAAGGCACTTGACTCCTTGGATATAAAATTAATATCACAAAATATAAGCAAACATGCGAACTACGAAGAACATTAAACCTAGCATGGGCAGCCTATAGAAAACTCAAAGACATCTTTAAAATTAATATACCAATTTCTTTAAAACGTAAAACATTTGACGAATCTGTATTGCCTGTGATGACTTATGGTGCCGAAACTTTGACATTGACAGCCAAAACTTCTAAAATGCTGGAAATAACTGAGAGGAAAATGCTGAGGTCAATGCTGAGAATATCACTTCGTGCCCGAGTTAGAAATGAAGACTTAAGACGAAGTATAGGAGTTACCGATAAAATTTTTCGAATTGTTACACTAAAATGCAACTGGACCGGACACTTCGCCCGAATCAGTGATGAAAGAATGCTTGACTGACGATCTCAAGATAATATCGAGAAATTGGATGAAATATGCTCAATATAGAGCACAATGGATAACAATGAGGGAAGCCTATATCCTAGAACTACCTAGAATTTGTTCTATTTTGTGGCCTTCTGTTTTCAGAATTCCTTCTGTTATCATACTGACCTGACATGTGTAGTACTGAATGGTGCTGTCCACCATATACATGATACACCACACAGGTTATCTTCTTCTTTCCCTGTTGTCTGTGATCTGTTCCTATTCTTTCTGTTTCCAATATCTCTAATGTTTGGAATCTTCTTTGTAGGAATACCTATGTTGACTTATATTTTGGAATGTCCCTACTGTCTTGAATTGACGTTTCATATAATTTCCTGGTTTCTGTGTCCCACTTTAACCTGCTGATCCTGGCTATAAGAGGGCTCTTGTCATTAAACCTAGTCCACTAATGGCTTCTAAGCATTTGTGGAGAGTATCATGTAATGTTTTCAGCGCCTTTGCTGAAATGCTGACGTTTCTTTTACCTCCGTAGCCTGAAGTTTCTTGTCTATTAATATAAATAGATTTATTCTTGGATTATCGTACCGATCTTGCAACATTTTCCAGGCAGAACTGTAGTTTGCGTCTGTTGTGTTTAAATGTTGTATTTTTTTACTTGCTTCTCCTCAGAAGCTTGTCTTGCGCCTTTGCCCTTTTGCTCCCAATGCCCCTTTGGTCAAAGGGGTATTATGAAATTATTCAATCCTCATATCTACATTCAAATCTGTTTATTGTCTGCTTCTTCTCGATCGACGATGATAAATACAATAAAACATTGAAGTTGTGTAATAAAAATGATGGTTTTATTGACAGCTACTAATAATTACATTTATATATGTTGGTTAGGTAACGATCTATAACAGACTGCCCTCAAATGAGCTCAGATCCCCAATTCATAATCTCACAAATAATATACATCAGCACAAAGGTTAATGCTTCTATCATACTTACAAACTTTGAACTATGAGCTTACATTACATTTTAATCTAGGCCGTAATTGCAACACAGGAAGTTCAATTAGAAAAATATATTATTCGACAATTGATTAACAGGTAAATAGACTTTAGTTATTAAAATATTACTCGATATAGTTTTGCAATGACTCAATTATACACGGTCAAAGTATAAAAGATTTAAAAGTTAAGAATAATGTGAGATTACAAAAATTTGTGGTTGAACATCGGTGTCGCAACAATACACGGGCGGCCTTTAAGCCTAGTTTGCATTATGCTAATATTTTAGTTGAATAACGAGTAATTTAGTAACTAAAATACATAGCACTACCCAAAAATCGTTCGCACTTGTTCTAGTTGAGTTCACAAGTGGGTTGGGTTTCGCAAGATGAACAGCCTAGCAATAAAGTAAATAAACTGATTAAGCTTAATTCGGCCGTACGCTGCAAGATTCACTTTTTCGGGAAGGAATTTGATGTTATGGGAAAATTCACCGGTCGAATTAAATACAACAGCATTTTTTCCAAAACAAATCAAGGAGGTTCGAAAAGTTTAACATGCAATAAATGGATGGTAAGAAATTCATCAATCGAAAATTTGTGCCCAGGTAGATTATTTTTAAAATTAATGGAAAAAAGAGGACCAAAGATTTTATCACACAGATTATTTCTTATCATTCACCCCAAATGGAAGGATGGATCTTGGTTTAAAAACTGTCCACTTACAATCAAAACCGTTGTAGTTTTCTAAGTGGACAAAAATTTCAGCTGAAAAAATTGAAATAGATACAAAAAACATAAAATAACAAACCATTCTCATTAATCTTCAGCTGTGTCAGCCTTGTTTAGGCAAGGTGTTTCTGAACAAGAGTTAATTAAATTAACGGGTTCAAATCCAAGCCCCCTAGAACCATATCTGCAGCTGGATTCCAGTCACGACCAGAATTTGTCGAAAATCGCAGAACAACAAATGAAGCTGGACCTTCTAGTTCCCAAATGCTACAGGTCAATAGTACACAAAATCATGCTTTGGTAGAAAAAACTAGACAAACTACTATAGCTTATAATAATTGTACCTACATTGAATATTGTAAACAAATAAATAAAGATTATATTTCGTTGATATGGTGCATTAATTGCATAAAATTATTTACACGAAAAATATTCTTGTTTCTTTTCTCTCTTATGATATTTTATTATACGAAATTTTTATATTGTCAATCACTTCAGAAAAATTAATACTTTGGTAGCATTTAAAAAAATATATTTTACGCTACCGCAACATACTAATGATTAACATAAAATGATCGGTGCTTTAAATTATGTATATTATGGACGTATAAAAAATTAAGATATATTATATGGATGAGATATTTATGTTTGTAAAGTACAGTATTTTTACGATATCCTAAACAAACCAATAATTTCAGCGAAATAATTAAAGGAAGTTGTTAACATTCCGCGATATTAAAAATTCTCATAAAAAGTTTTACGCTTTGTTTAAGTCAGTAAAGTTTTTATCGTATCTGGGAATAAGTAATGGAAAATTAGATTATGTTATGTAACGTTTTTTACAAATTCTAATTTAAATATCACAATAGAGTGACGTTATAAAGATCTATTAGACAAGATGAAAAGCTCGAGTTCGTTTGGAAAAATATTTCCTCGAGATTTTTTTGTATAATCACGTTCATGAGATTCCCCATAATAAGGTCCAGGGGTTGTCCAGGCAAAAAGGCAAACATTTTTTTATAATAAATAGTAACAATAAATTTTTTCAGTCCTTTCAATTTTTTTTTATTTTTTGTTAAATGCAAGTTTAGACCCTGTTCTATTATTTCCTGATAAGTATTTTGGCACTACTTTATTTTAAAAACATTGTTTTCTAATCGTCAATGAATGGCTTATGAGAGGACGGGGACTTGGACTGCAACGTGTATAAGAGATACAAACAAGACCTAGGGCACAAATATCTGCTGCTTATTCCTGGTAAAATCGTGGACCTGAACCAGTAAAAGTCTGGTAAATTGCCATGTAAGAGATCGATGGGCTTAATTTCTCGATCAGTCAACATTATTGCTGCAGTGTAACCAGTTGCTTTATATTAGGCTAGCTGAACCAGAGGCACCAATTTGTCCCAGTCTCTCTGGTTTTCATGTACAAATAGGGACAGGTAGTTGTTGATGGTCCGTATATGTCTTTCTACCATGCCGTCAGATTGAGGATGAAGCGGTGTCGTTCTGGTCTCCTTAATTCCCAGCAAAGTCATAATGTCATCATCATCATCAAAGGCACCTTTCGTCAGAATGCAGCAGAA